CCAGTGTTATCTTAGCCCACCCAGCATTTGAGTTCAGTGATAAGTAAATTTCCCTTTCTTTTACTAAGAAAGAAAAGAGATTCAAACAGAATTAGGTGTGAGTGATAGAAACAAAATGTTACATGTAAAACAACATCATAAGATATTAACTGGGGCATACACTTACCAGAAGTTACCTTTCCTATCCAATTAGAGAGATTCTCACCCCAAAGTTCAGTCTTTTGCAGCAGATGCTGGCCCCAAGGAGCCAGGACCATATCTTTCATGAAGCATCCCTGCTCATCAAGGTGCCTCCTCAATGAATGGGTACAGTCTTTCTCCACCCTCCATACTAAATTGGTCTTTTGTCTTTATTCACAGACAGGGCTATCCCTTTGCTGTCCAATCATTTCTTTTCACTGCCAGGTGGTTTTGATGTTTATAGTTTATTTTTGATGATTTTCCATTGATTTTTCTGGGTTGTTGCAACAATGAACAATTGAGCAATTAGATAATTGGCTAGCCGGGGAGAAGTGACAGCTCTCTCACACTTGAATGGGCCATTACAGAGACACATGGTTCTCTGGTGACTCATTTTCACTCTAAGACCAGAAGGGCATAATTGTCAATACATTTATATTATTCCTTAAATATTATCTGTACACACATCAATGATTATGAGAATCAGTAAGTTCCAAGCTTTCAGTGAAGACCTCACACGCTAATCTTTAGGGATAAATACCATGAAAAGGGTGAATTAGGTGTAGTAAGTTTGTCAATTGTGTGATAGGCGAACCCTTTGCCAGTTGACAACAATTTGCCACTGTGTCACATTTACCAATCCGCACTTTAAAGACAAAAGCCAACGTTTTCAGAAGCATGTGTCTAAAGTCAGATACCAAAGGACCCATAGGCTAATTTTCAGTAGTGTTGAGCACCCTCAACTTCCACTGAAGTCAGAGAGAGCTGCGGGTGCTCAGCATTGCTGAAAATTAGGCTGCTTGTGTTTAAGTCCTTAAATATTGATTCAGATGCTAACTTTGGGTACCCAGATTTGAAAATTTTTGCCAAAATGCATAATTTCTATATATAATCGTCTTGATAATGAAGTATATGAAACAGCAAACCACATGAAAATCTACTTACTTTGTCTCTTACTCCTCTGTCTTTAAATTACATCAGAAATGAACTGAGGCAGAATCCTTCCTTCCCTTTCCAATTTTTCTTCTTCATTTACCTGGGTATAACAGGAACAAGCAGCAACATTTTCCTAGTCCCACAAGGTCCAATGCTCCAGTTCTTCAATGCATTGTAGTGCATAGTGCAGAAAGCATAAAAATGTCTCTGAAACTAAGCACTTTTGAGGTGTGGGGGATATTTCATTGCTTTCAGATGTGCTTAGAATCCCCTTTTAATGCTCCCTGAGGTATCAGAGCATATTTTTATAAAGACAGGGTTGTTTTACATGTTTAATTGCATAGTGGTTAGTTTATTTATTTCCCTCCCCCCAGACTCTAACAACTCCAGTGTCTTTTCTACTTACAAAAACTTCTAGAACTAGAGCTGGTTAAACATGTCAAATTCTGAACAATTGAGAGGAATAAAAGACACTTTCTGTGAAATATTTTCACATTTTTTGACCAGCTCTATCTAGAATACAAATATTTTTGCCCTCCACAGTTTTCTACTTATATGACCTGCAAATTATGAGATGACTGACATTTATTTATAATGTCTTTATATTTATACAAAGAATAAAAAGAGTTGTCTAATTAATGCTCTAGGCGTCCTTGCCACAAACTACAAAACCAAATAAAATTAAACTGTCTGCAAAACACCAGACTCCCTTCCCCCACCCACAAATCTGACTGATCTTTATAACTGAAGATTCCTTGAGATGCGCAGTATCTGAACCAGAATTTTGACGAGGCAGAATCCCTCCTACTTGCCTCATTATGTTTAAGGAGGACCATGTAGCAGGGACTCAAGATTATTATTAGAAGCAGCCTGAAATATACTGTCAAGGGAAGATAGTGTTTTGCAATTGATTCTCCTTTGAATGGAGGGGATTGCAGATTGTATTTGTTCCTACTCTATATCAGTGATGAAAAGGTGACTCTCGTGGTAAAGTGAAGTAGGTTGGTTGCTTAAAGTAAATTTTCAAGAAGAGACTGTGGACAATTGTATCCAATAAAGAGCAAAATATGTGCAATTCATTAAATACTATTGGGGCACTATCTCTATGGGAAGTTGGTTATCCAGCTAGCTTCTTTCGCAAGTTTATGAACACTTCATGCTGTTTTTCTCTTCAGTGTAGCCAGTTGCTGGGTACAGTTAGAGAAGGGATAGATTCTGATCTCAGCTGTGTGTGCAATTTGATTGTTACTTGAGACTAGTGTAACTGAGATCAAAATCTATCCTGGAGGGTGTTGTCAGCAGTGAAGGTGGAGTGTGTGGTTTGTGTGTGTGGTTTGTTTGTTTGGGGTTTTTTTGGTTGGTTAATTGATCATTTTACAGTCTACTTAATCGGAGCTTTAAACTCTACTTGCTCATGGGAAGCAGGAGGCCATCAATTTCTGCAGAATCGAAGTTTTCATTTTATATATATTTAACCCTTAGGGACATAAAGATAACTTTCCAAACATGAACCAAATATAGCTGATGCACTACCCTCTTCCAGAGTCTACAGGTAGAAAACTCCAGTGCCACAGTTGCTGCTCACAGCTTTTACGTTTGCAGCAGGTAGAAAGCTGGGGGATGGGTACAGTAGCTGAGAGACATCCCCAATTCCCATTGGAGGTTCTGGGGTGGGAGAGAACCAGTGAGAGAGAGCACTCCTATCTTCAAGCAGTGTGGGGAGGTTTAAGTGTAAAGCTTCAAATTTATCAGGCACCTTCTAGAGGGAGACCTCTATAAAATATGAAGCCCCTGAGCGGAGTCCAGGAGTGGCACCCAGTTACCAGTTTCAGCAGCCTCCTCTTTTCCCAGCTGCGCAGAAACTGGGATGGAGGCAGGCTTTTGACTTAGGTGTTGCCTCCAGACAGTGGGGCTCCCAATTTTTGTATCTATGTCTAGTAGATTTAGTCCTCCCACTCTAAGTTGCTGAAGTTTCCAAGCTGTGTGTGTCAGTATCTGGATGGGCTGTGAGTAGGTGCCTGTAGGTAGGTGGGAGAGAGGAGATGCATTAAAAAACAGAACCACAGTATAGAGAGAAATTTGCAGGGAGGTGGGAAAAGAAAGAGAAAATGGATAGGAGGAGGTAGAGAACACAATGTTAGGATGTAGTAAGAACAGCAGATCAAATATTACTCTGTGAAAGTATCTTTTGACAAATTTCACTGGTCACTGAACAGTTTATCTAATAAATACATTTTTTTTTGTGGTTGTGAATGAGCCAGCTGCCTACAAGCACCTCACCCCCTCCATGGCCTGACATCATTCTTCAGGCACTTCAGTTTCCCTCTTCTTCAGCTCAAGGCTCCTTAAACTATCCTTAAATCAAACGATCAGATGAGCTCTTCCCTGGTTCATCAACACCTCACCGTGGGGGGTTAGTTTATTAACATCAAACCATTCCCAAAATAAAGTTTTCAGAATCCCCCTCAAGTCCATACTTCCAGTCTTTCCCACAGGTGGGCTCCCAAGCCTTCCCTGACTGAAGTTTTTCCCAAAAAAACTCAGGGTTCCTTATGGCACTTACTTTCCCCAAAAGTATCTCACTCCCTCTTACTCTTCCTGAGCGTGCCCCTCTCTCTGTAACTTTCTGCTGCTCTTTATAGAGGAATCAGCTCCTCCATCCCCAGCTGGTTCTATTAATATAACCCCACACTCCATCCCAGATGTTGTAGGTGGGGCTAATTGGACAGGCCTGGCTAGGTCGTCACCTACTACACACCTTTCCTGCCTTGAAACCTTGCTTGGCTCCTAGATAAGTTCTACAATGTTTGTTTCTTCTTTTGCCCCTTGCTAGTCTGTTGTTCAAGGGTGAATGATGGGGGGTGGAGGGGGAGGTAGGACAAAGCAGCTGTACCACACTGTACCTCATGATTCAGGTCAGGACCATTAGAGTGCAGAATTGTAGAGAACTACACAGTTTTTAATATTACTTATTTTGAGTAACTATCTCTGATTGCTTATTGAGTTGGCATGGAAACTGAAGTACCACTCATGTTTTTTAAAAGGATAGTCCATTCAGACTGAGGTTAGTCATCAGCTGGCAAAGTGAAAAGACTTATATTGCAGCTGTTAACACTTATACCTTGCCTCTGAATAAACAGAATACTTGAGATGCTAGCACTGGTAGTCTCAATCACTTCTATGAGAATAAGTGTTCCTCCACAGAAAACAACACTGTGTGTTTTGGGGGAAAATGTTATTTCATAATCTGACATAGACCGTAGGACTCGTTTCCAGAAGCTTCCTTATGGATCAGTTGAATGCAAATAGTTACAGTTTGTGTAATCAACACACACAGTGCTTATGCTATTTGATAATGTCCTTCTTGAAAAAGGCTTTTAGCCTAGCCCTTGTTTTTAACTGGGGCTTTGCGTGTGCACAATCAAGATGGAACCCTCTGGTATATGCAGAGAAAATGGCATCTGCAATTACTTTTTCTCTCCTCTGCCCCTCCCCTCTCTTGTGAATGAAAACATTCAAGAGGAGTTCACTTTCATGATTTTCTTTTTCTAAGAAGCAAAATGGAAGCAGAGATACTGCTGCTGGTTTTCCAAACTAGCTAAACTGAGGGAATACTGATGTTAAAAAAGTTGTTCAGTGACATTTTATAAATGTGGCATCTCATTCTCAGACGCAGAATGGGAAATGTATATTTAAATTAAGAAAAGCTTGATTTTATCCAAAACCTTTGACTCTAGGCTTCTCTAAATCCTCAGCACACAGACACAGCTTCCTTCCTTGTTAAAATAGGAGCCCTTTACTTTAGGGTAACTACTTGTGTTCTAAGCATATTAGCTATCAGATCGAGGAGGGCACTAATATTTCTCTTCTTCATGTTAATCAAGCAGATAATCTAAGTGACGCCTTGAAGAAGCTGAAGATAACAGCCATTGACAGCACACCAGATAGCTTGGATGGATGCTTGGATTGCCTGCTTCAAGCCCTGGCTCAAAACAGTAAGTTTTATTGTTCCTTCAAATTTTGCGCCATATGATCAGATCAGTAAATGATGGAGGTAGTACTGTGATGTGAAGCAATGCAAGTAACGCAATCAATAGAATTGCTGGATTGGCTGTTCTATTAAAAAGAAAGTCCCATATAACTTGTGTGAGAATCAGACAGTAACGAAAAGATAAAGAAAATTATGTCCATGGACATTCACAACAGGCATAGCACAGAGCTAGTCCCTGGCATGTGGAGTAAGTTACTTTTCCAATTGAAGTCTACGTTCAGAGAGCAAAGGGCAAGGTATTTCTCTTTTAGGTCAAAACCTTGTGCTTGAGTAGCATGAGCATGGCATTCAGCACTTTCAGTTACTCTGAGTAAAGGTGGCACAGGTTGCCAATCCAACCACATAGCCCATTATTTTCCTTACGTGTCTGATATCACATTCATTTCCACGATGTTTCCATTAGAAGGGAAAGATTGGCTTTCTAAGTACAGTGCAATCTTAAGCATACTGGATGATGACAGAACTAACATTGTCAAGAAGAAAATGAGATGGCTTTTGTTCCCGAAGCTCTACAGGGTCCTGTTCCACAAACAGAAAGGTTATAGGGAAAATAGAGACAGCAGATTATAGAACTTTTCCATCTCTAACTTTCTGATCATGGGACGCTGGCAGAAGATGTGGAAGAAAGACCTATACAAGGTTTCAACTTCACATACTTTGTTAGGGCCAATATAAATAATTTGATTACATGTATTAGGTAAAATGAAGCTTCTGATTAGAATTTTTCTTTTTTTAATTTTTAAACAAAATAAACTTCTTCTATATCTGATCTCTGTAACATATCAATACTCTTCTCAAAAGCCCATATTAATCAGCTGATCTGATTTCTCTTCCAAGATGCCATTCTACAAGTCATAATTTCATGGCTGTGTAAGTGTAAGATATTTTGTGAAATTTTAACACTAGAAGCTAAACACTGCTCGTGATGCCTTATGGATTATAACAATGTCTGCCATTCAAGAGGTAACATTGGTGCATTTTTTTCATCTTGAGTAGTTCACAGGGAGATCTTAGCCAGGAAAGTGTCAGGCGTGGGTTTTTGTTGTTGTTTGTTTTTCATCAAACTTCTCTTCAAGGAAGAGAATCCATGCTGTTCTAGAGTTCTTTGTAAGGTATCTGCAACATTTACCACCATTGAACACCTTCATGTTTAAAGAGTATGGGATAGGAAGAAGAGTTTGTGATATGAAAACATCCAAGGCCTTGGAGTTAAATGAATTGTGTACCATTACCTGTGGGGGTCCATAAGTAAATCCTAGTACCCAGCTGGTAGGTGCAAAATGGTTCAGGCTGTAGATTTTGACCACTCCACAACACATCGATATTTCCTCTCAACCAGACAACCCCAGCGCTCTTTGTTTTGCCTCAGCCTGGTGCCCAGCTTCTCCTCTCAACTACCTTCTCTTCTTCTGGTCACACTCCTCTCAAGCTGGAGGGGCAGATGGAACCATTCTGAGCAGTATCTTTTGTATAGTTTACAAAATTTTACTCTAACTCCCCTCAGTTTATGAGGGCTCTTTGTGTATGGGTGCAGGTATAGATTATGAAGATAATACATGGTGATGGAGATAAATTATATGCAAATGGCTCTAATAAATTGCAGAGGGCTAAGGTAGAATTTATGGGTCACTGCAACATGGGGACTCTGTCTGTTAGCTCCCCCTTACACTGCTGCACTCAATTCGGTGTTGGTCAAGTCCTTATTATGACCCAGCCTCTGTCCCCTTCAGGGTAATGGAGAGATGGAAGCCCCATAGTGCTAGTGGAAGCTAGACAACCCTAGGTCTCCTGGGTTTTGAGCCGCCTTCTCCAAAGCCCAGCCCCAGCCCCATCCTCTCCACTGGGTTGTTCGGAACAGCCCAAACCAATCCTTCTCAGTCCCTTGTTGCAGCCCGTTCCACTTCCTACCTCTCCTCCTCTGTGGGCTTCCCCAGCCTCTTGCCTTGCTTCTCCCATTTTGGCTTCTGAGGCAGCTTCTCATCAGTCTGCTGGTGTGATCCTGTCCAACAGCTTTCTTTCCCTCTGAGGTCTGTAGTCTTTTATGGTGCCCAGAGGCTTCCCTGCCTAATTAACTGAATCCCAGTTACTCAGTGAGGTAACTACTCCCAGGTGAATCTGAGCTGCCTCATTTCCCCTTGTGGAGCCTGTCAGAGGTAGGCTGGGCCCCAGACCCTTTCAGAGGGCCATCTTCCTTCTGACAGTCACTTAAAGATTCTGTACTACAGTCACATTTTGACCCTAAACATTAGTAAATACAAATATTTAAGTAGCTTACTTTGTCTCTCTTCCTCTTTTTCCTCTTTCTGTTGTGTCATTCTAGTTTTTCTTACCTGATGCTGTATGTAGTATCTCTTCTTCAGTGTCTGCTTTCCTTCAATATATTTTTTTCTGTCCTCCCGCCTCCCTCTTATTTCTTTTCTTTAGTTTCTTCAGATCTTCTTCTTACTTGTTTCCTCTGTATTCCCCCTGCTTCACCCTGTCTTCATCTCTTATATCACTTGGGGCTTGTCTACACTTAACATGCTTCAGCGGTGCAGCTGCACCAATGTCGCTGAGCTGCTGTAGCATTTCAGTGCAGATACTACCTATGCCAACGGGATAGCTTCTCCTGTCAGCATAGGTAATCCACCTCTCCAAGAGGCGGTAGCTATGTTCCATCAACATAGCGCAGTCTACACCAGGAGTTAGGTTGGTACAATTGCGTCTCTCGGGGTGTGGATTTTCCACACTCCTAAGCGACATAGTTATACCAACATAGGTTGCTAGTGTAGACCAAGCCTCTCACACAGAGGCACTGCTTGCCAACACACACACACACGGCCCACCACTTCTCACCTAACTGTTCTAGAAGGAAGAGGAGAATTAATCCCCTGTGTCCATTCAATCCTTCTTCTCTCTGCTGAAACAGCAAACTCGGTTGCCAGGAAATTAGTGCCAGTTATGGATATTTTCCTAGGGGAACCAACAAACACCCAACGGCCTTCAGATTATATCTTCCAATCCTGGGCTGGATTTGAACCAGCCACTAGGATAAGAAGGTCACTGTACCTCATTTCTAATTCCTCAAGCCATCCAACTCCCTGAGTGTACACTGAATGTTTCTGAAAGAAAAATCACTGGATAGGTTTTAAGATTACATCATTAAAAGACAGAATAATGTTTTCCTTTTCAAAAAACCTAATATCACCCTTAATGAAATATGAAGAGTAATATCACCCATCCTGGTATCTTGGTATATTACTGAGAAACACTCAGAAATTCTAGGGATTCTTCAAATTCTCAAAACCTTACTTCAAAGCATATATGAGATAACAAGCTGCCCATCCTAATAAAGGAAAAGGTTCCAGTTTAGAATAATTACTCTGTTTTAGTGTAATTAATTTTCTAACTTGACAGTACCCCAAAGGAGCTGATAAGTTCCATTAATTTGGAAATGGAGAATTATGGGTTTGTGACACAAAGATTAATGCTTCCAACCACAAAGTGGTTTATGTGCCACTCTGTTTATAGTTATACCTGTGATGTGTGGAGAAAAGTATCTTTGCCAATGGCTAAGTATCAAAAGCATACAAGATATTCTTGCCTAGTCCAAAAGGATGTTATAAAATTTCCCATTGTATAGAGATCATCTCAGTGGAGGCCTTAAAGATACTATACATAACACTAATCCATTTTAGGTTGGAAGAAAGCAAAACCAAAATAACATAAGAGTTTGAATGTAAAATCAAACAGCAGTTTAGCAACAATGGAGAAAGCTTTCAAAAAAGACCGTGTCATTGAAAGACCATTGGACTTAGGTTCCTAAGTACCTAAATCAGTTCTGAAAATGTGGTGTAGGCACCTAAGACATTTGGGCGCTGTTGAAAAATTGACCAAATGTCAATAAAAACAATTTCTGATTTGCTTTAAACTGTGAGAAGCAACATACATTTTAAAAAAAATCCTCTTAAATTATTTGCTGGGTTGCATCTGTTAATAAGTTTGGTCTAACAGATTGCTGTAAGAGATCAAGTTTCCTAAATTTGCAGCCAGTGGTCAGTTATTAATGATCTAGTAATATATTATGACCATCCTTCTCCCTTGACCCTGTGCCTTCTAAACTTCCTCTCCAATTCAATGTCCTTCCAGGTCATCTTGGTGTATAGATTATTTGTGCAGGTGGAATGTGTGTCAAAGAGATGAGAGTGCCAGTGGTGATTAAAGTATTCACAGGCTCAGTAATTGCTGTGTAAAGAGTTTTTAAAGCTGACTGTTGTGGAGGATAAAAAAATCTCTTCCAGTGGGACAGTCTGGTGGAACGCAGGCAGCTGCCACCTAGAAAGCGGTTTGAAAATGGGACTGTTTTCATTATCAAAATGTACAGTGCCTAACAGCAGACCCCTGATCCCAGACTGTGGCCTCTAGGTACTACTACAATACAATTAATTTCTTTGTAGAGGAATTTTCTTTCTTCAAGAATAAGACTGATTGGACTTGTACTGGAGTAGATGTAAATGTGGGGCCAGATCTATGTCCAGAAGAGTCAAATCCCATGGGCCTGATTCCCCACTACCTGGCGCTTTGGGTAGTCATTTATACCGGTGCAAAGTGGATGTAAAATGCTGCCATTCTCATTTAGTGAGTGCTTTACACCCATTTTACAACTGCCCTTGCTTGGCAAGTCTCCCTCATCTCCCTGCCAGCTCATTACCTCCTGTCTCCTTCTAATGCTTTCTGTACCCAAAAAATCTTCCTGAGGAAGTCTCTCTCACTCTTCCCTGACCTCTAGGAATCTTCCAGGGAACAGCAGAAGGGGGTACTACTAGTAGAGACAGAAGTGAAATGCCAAAAATATTGTTTAATACAATCTGAACACGCAAAAAGTACAAAATTAAACAGAGGGAAAAGGTGGTTGAGGCAAACTCTTTTCTTGGACTAACTTCTGTTAGTAAGAGAGGAGAGCTC